TCCACCTCACACAGCAGGAACGTTTGGAACAAAGGGATGCCTTTCCCCAAGTACTTTGTCAAATTACACACACATTATTTTAAAACCGTTAATAGCAACTGAAATCATAAGGCTGACTAGCAGCATCTTCACTTACCTAAAAGAGCAGCAAAAATAGGAAAGCGATTTGGATTCAGGTCCAGTTGCTTGGCAACTTCATGCATTAGGTATTGGCTTGTTGTGAGGCTTTTCCCATTCCGGCTCAGTTTTAGGGCATGGGCACTGAAATAGTAAGGGATGTTGCACAATGCATAATCGGAGTCATATGCAACCAAACCATGGAAACCTTTTTCTCTACAGAAAGCAATTACTTCTTGATGATGATCCTCAATGCTCTGCGCAACCTATAGTGGAAGACAGAGCAATTAGCTTCAGTGTAAATGGAAGCACTGATTGATCAAAACTATCATAATATAGTGGGTCTTTCTGAAACTATACATGTGAATTTAAAATACTCAAGATATTTTTAAGGAGTTAAAAAAAAAAATCCAGTGATGCAGCACATACAGACAGGACATAAGGAGCACTCGGAAGCACAGCACACGCTTCTGGAAGCCAGCATGCCGCAGTGGCATAGTGAACTCATCTGAAAAAACCGCTTATTACCAGAAACACTTGAACTCTGAAGACATTACTGTTCCAGTGTCCGTACCAGCTCATGAGGAAAGCCTTGAGGCTGTGGGTACCCCAGCAGTTCAGCACACCGAGATGCCCCTCACGATCAAACAAACCCATGATACTTTTGAAAGTTTTTTGGCCCTCTTTTAAACAGGCCAAATACAACCCCAGACGAACAGAGATAAGTTTGTTGACATTTCAAATGCAAACCTTGCTGTATTAAGCCAACTTTTTTCCCATTTCCATCTTCAGCCTAATCCCTTCATGCACAACTGTATCTGAGTGCAAACTGCTTTGAGTTTTTAGCCCAAACTTCACCTCTCCACTCCTGTTGCCTAGCAAAGCACATATTTTAGGCTACAGAAATCAGATGACTTGAATAGACATGTGCAGGAAGACACAGGCCAATGCCTAATGTTGGATATATAAAAGGAACCCTTTCTAATCAAGAAGCTTATACTGAAAGTCCCATGAGGACAGGTCAGGACCTACAGTCCTGCATTCCAACACAGCTTCAGAACTGCTACAATTACAGTATGCACACAAGCACACTCAGCTACAGCCAGCTAAAGGCTTTGGATCCCTAATGCTTCTGCCATCCACAGACATAATACACACTCAGTGATACAGAAATCCCCTTGGAAGCTGGGTGTTGGTATAACCCACCCTCACTGAGTATTCCATTTTAATAACAATATAGAGAGCAAGCTATCCCAAAACAGACTAGTACAAAACTATTAACTTCAGTCTCCACAGCACACATAACCACAGCCTTAGCGCCAGCAAGGCTATTTATTTCCTCTGCAGAACAGGAGACAAGGTCCCAAACTCCACAGCCGCTGCAGTCACCCACAGCCAAGTTTATAGTGATACTTCCTCTTCTATTCATGTCTTGCACTTGCTGAACTACCATATTCCAGAGAGGTATGTCACATTTTACTTCTCCCATGCACCTTCATGAGATGCGCCCTTTCAAGTCGGATCCTGAGCAGCAAAACAGCCAGCACCTCACCTGCTCCTTGCAAACAAAGACCAGTTCACTAAGCTCTCACCACTGCTAATTCTACCATCCCGCAGTCTTCACAAAATGTTACTTCTTCAGAAACTTCCTTGATGGACTGTTCTTGAATTTTACTTTGTTTGTGAGAAGAACTCACACACATTTTTCTCACAATGATGCTGTCCTCTAGCATAAGGTGTGGGAGAAACCATAAACATTTTTGGAAAAATTTAAAGACATCAGATTTACATAGTTCCTAACTAAAGGAAGTCAACTTAGGCTTCACCCCACCCCCACCCACCAGTCTTCACAGGTTTTAAATAAGAAAAATCCCTCCAATATTTTTTAATTAAGGGTAGATAGATTTACATTATGTTCCTATCTCTAAACCCAACCTCTCTGCATGCACAAAGAGCTCTCATCTATAAAAAACCAAGTGAGAACTCCTTCTGCAGCACTAGGTGTGACATGGGTGCGCAGATAATGCAAGAGATGCTCTGTGTGTAGCTCCTCTGATTTTCTAAGAGTTATTTCCTCTACCTCCACAGCCTCCAGTTCCCTCCCCATTTTATAGAGCTCTTTAACCCAGCATGAATCTGCTGTGTGTTCAGGGAATACCAGAATCCATGTTCAAATAACTGAACCATCACAAGGAAAGAAGTTGTATTTACCAAAGTACAGTTAACCCATAAAGCTCTAGCAAGATAGGACTCAAGAGATAGACCTCATGGCTCTCACAAATGCAGAGGTACCCAGGAATACGCACGCTTCAAAAGCAACCCAAGGAGAGGGATGTGGTGAAAATCACAGCCAGAAATTTAGAATAATTTTCAAGTCTAAATCTTGTATAAACATTAATGGTGCTGGTTCAGAAAGAGAGAATCCTGCCTGAGTAAATACACATGAGCACCTTTAAGTACTGTGAACAAAACAGTCTCCCCAAGTATTAGAGTTATTAAGAACTCCACTGCCTAAATATTTAAATTTTAGCAAAACTATTTTGCATAAAAGTTTCTTTTAAGAATTATTCTCCCCAAACTGAAAACACCAGGTCACAATGAAACTAAGAACCCACAGGATATTTGTTATAACCTGGAGGAACCTGTTATTTTTATATCCTGCTGAAACCACCTGTGAGTGATTTATAATTGTTCTGGATAGTAGACATTACTTTTTCTCCTCTCTAACTAAAACTGGATTAAATTTATGACCAGTTCCTTGCTTCACACAGAAACCTACTCCAGACTCAAATGTTCCTAAAAATATGAAAATCAGTTTAATATTTAAAGTAAATCAGTCTTCTCAAACCCAACTTCTCAAAACAAAGTGAGAAAACATTACAATTTAACAACTGTCTTATGCATATGTAAATTTTTAAAATCACATAAGACATAATACATATTTAAAAATATATAGATTTTTAAAATCACCTATACATGTAGATAAAAATCATTTTCAAGATGCATTTGCTCTGTGCCCATGAGGAGGGCTACACCAGAGTGAGAGTGATAATAAAACTGAAGGAGGATTTAGAGAAAAACAGATACATGTAACAAAGCAGGTTTAGAGATATAATGAATCATGTAAGAGAAAAAGAACAGCAGATGTGCTTTAAGCTCAGCAGTATCTTTGATGTGTGTTATGCATGTGACAACTATAACCATGAAACATCCTTCCTAACCTGAAAATTATTCCACTACAATTAGATTTATCAAAAGAGTTTCTTGACAACTGAAAAAAATGAGGCATAAAACAGAAATTGCTGATATCCTTCCCATCCCCAGGACAGCTGAGCAGTGCAGAGAACCAGTGCAGTTGGGACATGCATGGTGGGGGTTCAGTGGTGTGGACAGCAACAACCTCTCCCCTCACACCCCTCGGTGTCTGGTAATGAGCTGCCAACTCCCAGGACTAACCCAACACAGACAAATAAATATATACCTCATAAACCTTCTCCATCAAACTGGGGGGATACTGTATTTCATGAGATTTTGCAAGTTTGGGGTATTTTTTTAATGACAGAAAAGGCACACAGTATAAGTGTGCTTACACTCTTATATTGCTTCCATGGATTAGGAATAAGGCCTGTCACCAAGAAACCATAAACGAGCTAAAGCAGCTACACTGGAAAGTAAACAAAATGCTACAGGTAATACCACTGTCAAATGCAGCAACTCGGTTCAGATCTAATGTACCCGAGTCAGGTCTGTAACAGAAAATGCTTAACAAACTAACAGCCACTTCAACATACCACAAAACTACTGGAAGCACTAAATTCCCATTGATATCAAAACAGCTGGCTTCCTGTTGAGTACTATGCATTTCTATGTTGCACAAACTAGAAGTGTTGCTGTTATGGAGTAAGGAGCCAGTTAGTCTACAACTGGTTCTAAAAGCTTGTTGATACTGAGAAAACCCTGAGCAAACACGAAAACCTCCAAGAAGCCAGAACTGGCACCCCTCTGTTTCTTGCAGCGAGGCATTTCCCCTTCAGCCCAAGTTTAAAACACCTCGCCTCAGCCGAGAACTTGTTGCAGATCCATTCTGCGCGAGAACTAAACTGATTAATTATTTTTATCTCCCCTCAATAATTACAGAGCTGCTTTTCGCCCACCCGCTCTCCCCTGCCGCACCACAGCCCACAAGGCAAGAAGGGACATTTTGAGGCAACAGAGCGAAAGAACATGGAGGCAGAAGCCGCCCTGCTGCGGGCCGGGCCATGGGCGCTGCCAGTCGCCCCGCCAAGGCCTCCCGGCCTCCGGCCTTGGCGAGGCGGCGGGCAATGCCATGTAAATAACTCAAAATCCCTCGGGGATTGAGGCCGCCGAAAGTTGTGCCGCCCCCGCGGGTCTGGGCGACATTTTGAGGCGCTGAGGGGAGAGGCTGAGGGTGCCCTCCCTCCCCCCGCGGACAGCCCCCGCTGCCATCTTGGAGCCGGAAGGGAGCGGCGGGGAGGGGGCGCCGGGACCCCCGGGCGGGGGGGACCCCGGGCTCCTCCTCACCTTGATGTGGAAGCGGATGAGGGCCAGGCGGATGCAGTGCGCCATGCAGACGGGCGGCAGGAACCAGACCTTGGGCGGCGGGGTGCCCTTGTTCTGGACGTGGCTGACGATCTGCTGCGCCGTCTGGCGCTCGTTGCCCTGGCGCTTCACCCACTCGTGCAGCCGGGCCTTCTCCAGGGCGCCGTTGAAGAAGACGAAGAGCTCGATGTTGCCGTTGAAGCAGGCCTTGGCCAGGGCCGCCAGGTAGCCCAGCATGTGGTTCCACTGCCCGCCGCTCACCCAGTCCGTGTAGAAGCCGCCGTAGAGCCGGTGCAGGCAGTTGTCGGCGTCGATGAGAAGGCGCAGCGGGGTCTGGGGGGGCCGCTGGCGGCCCCCACCCACGAGGCTGCCCCGCGCCAGCTTCTGCAGCTCGACGGGCACCACGGCGCTGGGGCAGTGCTTCTCGATGTAGTCCTGGAATCCCTGCACTCCCATGGTGAGGACCGGGCGGCAGCGGCGGGCGGGCGAGCGGGGGCCCAGCGGCGGCGGCAGCAGCGGGGTCTGGGCTCGGGCCGGGCGGCGCGGCGGAGGCGGGCGGGCGGTGGGAGCGGTGGAGCCGGGTGGGAGCGCTGGCTGCCGTCGGTGGCCGATCAGGGGGGAGTTGTATAGATTAGTGGGGGGCTCATGGCTGCCGCGGCCGCCATGTGCTGCGCTCACAGAGCCATAGCTCGGGGATCCGGGCGGCTGCGGCTCCGACTGCCGGGGGGCGGGGGAGCGGCCGGGCGCGCAGGAAGCCAACCCGCCGCCGCCGCCGCCTGCGGCAGCGAGAGCGGAACGGGCGGGACTTGGCGGCCGTGCCAGTGCCACTCACACACCGCGCGGAGCCGCAGCGGGAGCGCGGGGAGAGCGGAGCGCCCTCGGCACCGCCCGTGCTCGGAGCCCAGAGCCCCTCACAGCCCCCTGCTCTGCCCTGCCCTGCGGCTCTGGCCCGGCCCGGCCCGGCCCGACCGCCGGGGCCGTTACATAACCCGAGCATGCGCGGGAGCGCGGCGGAAGCGAGTGGCGGGGAAGGGGAGGGGAGGCAGCGAAGAAGGGAGGAGGAGGAGGAGGAGGTGGAGGTGGCGGTGGCCAGGGGCGGCGTGCGGCGGCGTGCGGCGGCGGGAACCGGGGCAGAATTCTCCGGGCTCGGCTCGGATCGGCCTGGCCCGGTCCTAGGCCCGCGCTGCCGCCAGCGGCGCTCCATCAGCCCCACGGCCGCCGTGGCGGGCCCAGCTCGGGAGAGCGGCGCCCCGGGCACGTGTTGCTCGGGGATGTTCGGCCGTGACAGGGCAGAAGTGTTCCCGCAGCGGTTCGGTTCCGGCGAGGCGCCGCGGGGCTCCTGGCTTGATGCCGCACCCGACCTGGCCATAGCGCCTCCAGGAAAGGTGATCGGCTCGCCTGGCCGATCCCGGCTGAGCGTTTGCTGCTGCTGGTAAAGCTTCCAGGTCGTAGAATACCCCGAGCTGGAAGGGACCTACAAGGATCATCGAGTTCAACTCCTGCACAGGACACCCCAACGATCCCACCCCGAGTATCCCTGAGAGTGTTGTTCAAATGCTCCTGGAGCTCTGGCAGCCTTGGGGACATGACCAAACCCTGGGGAGTCTGTTCAGTGCCCCAGCCCCCTCTGGGGGAAGACCCTTTCCCTGATCCCCACCCTAACCCTCCCCTGGCCCAGCTCCAGCTGTTCCCTGGGTGCTGTCCCTGTCTTAGGGAGCAGAGATTGGAGCTGCCTCCTCGGCAGGAGCTGCAGCCCTGGTGAGGTCTAACCTTAATCTTGCCTTCTCCAGCTGAGCAAACCAAGTGCCCTCAGCCACTCTTTGTAGGGCCCCTCCAGACCCTTCACCATCTTCACTGCCCTCCTTTGGACATTCTCTAATTGCTTAAGATCTTTCTTGTATCGTGGCGCCTGAAACTGCACGGGAGACTTGAGGTGAGGCCACACCAGTGCAGAATAGGTATTCACAATCACCTCCCTCAAGGATTTTGGTAGCCTTTTCACCTTAGACATGCTTAAAGTGGCAACTGCTTGCATCTTGAGATCTGCCATCCACAGGGCAGCCAAACTGTTGCCATAGCTGGTAAATAAGCATAAGTATCAACTATCAGGGAAGAAATGCATACATGAGCATTAGTATCAACTACTGGAAGAAATCTGCTCTTCACTGCACAGGCAGTGAGGAATTAACTGTCTTTCATTTTACCAGAAGAAATCATTTTTTAAAAGGCCAAGGTGCCCAAGCTCCAGAGATTTCCTGCAAGTTTATCACTGCAGTAATACCACAACATCTGTGCAGTTCTCTGCTGTTCAGGTGTTGGAAAACTACAGGAAGTGTCAAGCTGCTGATGCTGTATGTTTGCATTAATATTTTATTAATTATTATATGCTTTATTAATGAGGAAAAGCATATTGTTAATGAGATTTCAGTCAGGCTGGATTGGCACCCACAGTAAATATTCCCAGCAGGAATAGCTGTTGCAGCAGGAGTGGGCCGGCTCACTTCCAGGCAGTGAGTGCCATGGGTGTGTGTCTGAGCCCAGCTGGTGCAGCATCAGGATGATGGAGTAAAGAATCCTGGAAAAGCTATGGAAGTAATCAATGACAAGTGCATGTTTCTTCTTGGAAATCTGCTTTTGCTGTAATCTGAGAGTGTGGTTTCCTAAATAAATATTCTGGTCTCTTTCTGAACTATTTTTCCCTTAGAATTCTTAGATTACCCTAAAAGAATAGATATGTTATAGTAACATCGAAATCATAAAACTATTTGAACTCTCTGAGGAACACACAAAATATGGTAGCAGGCCAATAGTGCTAATAGAAGGAAAGGGGATCAATGAGAAAGAACTTCAGAATTTCAAATATTCTAAAAATGACCAAAATTTGGTCAAAATAACACATACTGCCATCCATGAGGTGACTAAAAATCAGACTTTCAGACAGCCCTGCATGTATCCAATACTCCAATAGTGCAAAGCTTGATCACAAACAAGCCATTCTGTAAGTAGTCTTGTGAGTAATAATTGAGTCAAGAAGAATTCACTTCTTATCATTAATTGTCTCACAGTGTCTTCAAGCTCAATAGTCTTAGGAATGCCAAATAATCTATAAATAAAAGATGCATTTTTTTCTGTTTTGTTGTTTAGGAAGGAAACTAGTCCAGAGCACCTGCCACCAGGAGCCTGGCTGTCAACATCTTTGGAGTCAGGGAGGCACAGCAGAACTGAGCACTGCCAGTTTGTGCCCGGCCACAAACACAGCCCTCCCTCCCCAATGAGAAGAAAGAGAGAGGAAAAGCATAAGGGGAAGCAAGCTTAATATTTAATATAAACTAAAAGTTTGGTCAGACAAGAAGACAGTGGAAAATAAGTTAAATTTATGGAAAACAAAATTACTCTGGAAAGCAGGTAGATTAAGCTAGATTTAAAGAGCAGTTAATCAAAGACACAAGACAAACAAAGTGTTTTTCATCAACCAGCAGCAGAAAGCCTGCAGGATTCATCAATCTTCTTGCTTAGCCCTGAGACACAATGTGTTCCACAGTTCCCAGATGCTGGTTGTGTAAGGAAGGGTTAATGGCAGTTGCTATTAAGGCCAGTGACTCATTATCCAACCTGAACTGAGGCAAATTAGGAGTGGCTCCCTCAAAGGAAGGAACTGAACAGTCATTAGGAAGAGCTAACAAATAACCATGTCAGAGCAAGAGCAGAGGTGAATGTTATCAGTTTAGTCTTGGTTGCTCTGTTAAGGAAAGTCAGTCCCACAGCAAGATGAACATGGACACAGACTGTGGAAAAGACTAGCCACTGTGACCTGAAAGGTATGTCTGCCTGGGAGGAATAGATAAATAAGTTATCCATGGGAAACGCTTGTTCAGTGTAATTTCCCTTAATATTTCTCCTCTTTTCTCAGCTTGGTGCGTCTTGCTGTGGACCTGCTGCCCCCAAACTTCCCCATTCTTGCTGCTGTAGAAGAGCTCCCAACCTTCACCTCACTGCCAGGTCTACAGGTGGCCATGGGCTCACCCTGTGGGCAGGTGCTTTTCTGCATTGCTACTTCAGCACTTGCGGTTCTAGGCATGCCTTCACTTAGTCAGAAAAAGTTGCAAAAATAAAATAAATTGAAGAAAAAATGTTGAGGTTTGAAAAAGTATTTGGGATAAAATTTGTCACTTGTTGCAATCTTGCTCTGATTTTGTATCATCATATTTGTTACCATGTGTGACATCCCTTTCTTGTCTCTTACATTGCTGCAATTAAACTATACACCATCACACAACCTTTATAGGAGGAGGTTTTTCGTGTTCAGGTATCTCCACAAAATATCAACAAACACCATCTTGCTTAAGCATATAATAACTTTTTTTAAATATCCATGATATTTCGGATGGAAGATTTTCCTCTTAGGACAAAGATGTGAATGTAGAAGGCACATCACTGAGTTATTTAAAACTCTTATTGGTCTCTGCATCAGCTCTCTAGGGACCACCAATCCAAAGAAAAGATTATTCAAAAGGTAGCATACTTTACTGGAGCCACTGCTATGCTCAAACTCAACATTTCTGATTGTCCATAGAGGCCAGCCCTTGAGAAGTTTGGCCCTTGGCGTATGTGGGGTAATGTGGAGTATGATGGTGTTGCTCCAGCAAACTTTTAGGGCAAGAAAATGACTGACAGTGAGTCCTCCAAGTGCCTGGGAGAAGCAGGCTGGAGGAGGAGGGGGCAAAGACACTGGCTGAAAGAATTCTTCCTTTCAGAGAACAAGCGGCGCTTTCACAGCAGTGGATGCTCAGCCACAGCACACTCTACACAGATTACATCAGGGCCATTAGCTGCCTTTGATTAGTTTTAAGAAACAAAAGCATGAAAATTTTAAGTTCTAAACTTGAATTTTCAAGAGAAAAAGTATAAATAATAAGGGCATTATGGAGCAGGCAGTGGGAGCTGTTGGGGAGCAGTAGCACTGCTGCTTCAAAAACCTGGAACAGTAAGTAGTGTGCTGTTCCTGTGGCAGTGGTTTGAGACATACAAAAAGCCTGTGTTTAAAGCCTATTCTACTGCAGTTTTTGTGAGACTATCAATAATATTGCAAAAAGATACTAGTAGAATTCTACAGGTTGATATTATAACAGATAAGATGCACTTGCCAGTGGTATTGTGAGAGCACATCTGAGGTAAAATACATCTACTGCGGCCATTTCAGAAGGGCAGCTATCACTTGGAACACTTTAAAAACATGTCATTTTTGTTGGCATTTTTGAGATTAACACAAGTATCTCAGGCACGGAAGTAACAGAATTAGCTACCTAAATGTGGGGTAGGGCTGCCAGGTTTGGGAATACCATCCATGCCAGACCTTCACTCACAGTTTGCTACAGCAGCTGATAGCTTCATCTTGCCCAAACGCACAGCAGCACAGTCTGCCAGCACACCACCTGTAGATGTGGATCACTCAGTTATGTGTCTCACCATGGTCTGCCCATATTTCATCCCTACAGTTCTTGCTGCAGAGTCTAACATGGAGGTATTTAAAAACATTAAATTTATTTGAAATGCAAAGTATAAAGTTCTGGTGCTGCGACTACTTGAATCAGCACACAGAATGAAATGAGGTTCATAAATGCAGAGTTTTCAAAGTAGTGGCCTGAACACAAGGGATACTTTGTGCTGTTGCCTTTCCTGTCACATAATGGCTCTCCCATGTCCATCCCAGAGGCACAGCCACCACTCCTGGGACAGGGTGCTCCTTGAGCTGGTGCATTTGGAGAAGCAGACAATCTTCCTGTTGTCCAGAACTGGACCACGAGCCACCAATTAGACTGCTCTGAACGGCAGCATTCTGTTCAAAGCGCTGCTAATTGTATTTTAATGATAATTTAAATGCTGCTGCTATTTTCAGAGACATCCAGATCAGTAATTACTCATAGTCTATGTTGAGCTTTAAGCAGGCACAGGCACAGCACTGTAGAAGCATCAACTAATGCTATTAATGTTCTCAAAGTCCTTCACTGCCCTCCCACATGTCAAGAGCATCGTCTCCGTTCCCAGGCCCAAGCCCAGCCTGGGCTGTTCACATCTGGGATCCAGCAGCCCAGCTGCACCACAGGTTGTTGCAGCATTGTGGAAGTAAGGAAAGAGAAGCAGTGAATCAAATTTACCTACATTCATTAAACAAAATTCTACCAATATTAATAAAAATCAACTAAAGTTCTTACAACAAGGCCACTTCAGATCATTTTTCCATTAAGATAAAATACTAGCTCGATTGAACTCCATCCCTGAACACGGCATGGTCAGAATGTTTGAATAAACTCACCAGAAATGCAGATCCTAACAAGCTGCTTGCACAGCCAGGAAGAACATCAATATGTTAGAGCAAGTCCAGAGGAGGCCGCCAAGATGATGAGAAGGATGGAGCACCTCTGCTACAAGGAAAGGCTGAGAGCGTTGGGGCTGTTCAGCCTGGAGAAGAGAAGCTTCAGGCTGACTCAGTTGCAGCCTTCCAGCACCTGAAGGGAGCTTACAAGAGAAATGGAAAGAGGCTGTTTACAAGGAGCTGGAGTGACCAAACAAGGGAGAATGGCTTCAGACTGACAGAGGACAAGTTTAGGTTAGATATTAGAAATTCTTGGCTGTGAGAGTGGTGAGGCCCTGGCAAAGGCTGCCCAGAGAAGCTGTGGCAGCTCCATCCCTGGAAGTGTCCAAGGCCAGGTTGGACAGGGCCTGGAGCATCCCGGGATAGTGGAGGATGTCCCTGCCCATGGCAGGGGTGGCACTGGATGATCTTTGAGGTTCATTCCAAGCCATTCAACTCTAGGGTTCTCTGACTCTGTCCTTGCTGTTGCAGCAGGAGCAATGATGTGGTGGGAATGTGGCTGGCCTGCAGAGCTCACACTGCCAGAGCTGTGCTGTGCAGTGAGTCCAAGGGAGTAGAGTTTCCAAGGCTAGCAAATCAATACCTGCCATAAGCATGAAATTCCTTCCCAAATGTTTACTTGTATTCTGTACAAGATGCTCATAGTGTGTAGAGGAATCTATTCTCCAGAAAAAATATTTAGAGTTCAAGTCACAGTTTTCCCTTTCAGAAATTCAGCCAAAACACACCAAATGTGCTAACCATGGGCAGTGTAGTGCTGGTCAGGATGTTTATACATAAAACACTCTGTCAGTGAGAGTAAAGCACATATCTTGCCTGTGTAATTGATATCTACAAATGGGGAAGCTGGTTGAACCCTGTTCAAAAATACGTGCTTTTACGAGAACGTAGGTTAGCTTTAGTACAGTGGATTTTACATGCCAAACCTAAGCGGTCAAAATTCGGAAGAGACTGTTAATGAGACTGTTAATGATGCAGGAACAAAAGGGAGGCTTTTTTTCTCATTGGAAAATAAAATGCATGTAAACAAATCCTAATGCTGTTTGGTTTTGTTTGGTTTTGTTTTGTTTTGTTGTTTGGTTTTTTTTTTTTTGTGAAGATTTATTTGAGATTAATCACTTAATTATAGTCCTAGACTATATTAGTCTGTATTAGTTTCACAAGTCTACCCTCAGTTTGATGTGAGATTGCTGGCCTAGGACAAGAGTGAGGAGCTTGCTCCATTCTCTGACCAGGCACATGGTGAAGAGAGTGGGATTCTCTGTGCACTCCTTCCCCCAGTGGTGTTGTGCCTGGAGCTGCAAGAGCACCTCTGCCTGAGCAAGCCCCTGAAACAGCCTTAAAGGAGACATTTGCTTGTGCAGCTCAGGTGGCTGCTACAGAGCAATGAGATTCGCATGTGGGAAAAATTTTACATGCAATTTTTTGCAGCAAACTTACCTGAGAGTTTTACTTTCTATATAAATCATCTGTCTTGCTTGTCTGAGGAAGCTTTTAAGTGTGTTTTTTGTGTGTGTCTCCATTTTCTGAGGGCTGTACAAGCCGTGGCAACTTTGGAAATGAAAAGTCATGAAAAATTCTTGCACTTTGTTACCGAGTGCCGGGGTTTTTCTCCTTCTACGTGCTTGATGGTATTTGAAACTTAAGTAGGTACAAGGGCAAATAATTCCTCCCTTTTCCATTTCAGCAAGCATCTGCCTCAGCTGCCAGCCTGCTCCTACAAACCCCACAGCTTGCACAGAGCAGTCGAGCTGAGCTGATGCCAGGAAAGTGAAGATCTTGTAAGACAATGTTTAAACTTGTGTATTCCCAGCTTTTTTACAGGTTAGTAATTTGGGTTTCATTCTTTTCAGCAAGATCTGAGATGTTGGTGTCATAGGTTTTCTGTCTGATCTGCACAGGTTACTTCCATATCTTCATTTATTCTTTTAAAGATACATCATTTGAACTTTGTCCTGTGGCTTTCTTGCCTAAGATCAGTCAGGAATGTTTAAAATGTTTAAAACATTAAAAAAATTAAAGAATTAAATATTTTTGTATAATGGATACAAAAGATGAAAAGAGTTAATCCCTGCAAGCTTGTCACTCAGTGACAGAAACTTCTGGAAGTTGTACACACATGCAGCCTGGCCTGCACTCAGTGTCTTGACTACCATGAAACTAGAAATGTTAATTAGCATAAAAAATTGTAATCTAGTTCTGAAAAAGAAAAAAAGAAAACCAAAACACCAAGAAAAAAGGCAAATACTACACATCTCTCATTTATGAGAGCATTCTTATCTTCCAGAAGACATCAGTTTAATTCTCCAGTTACTCTCACTATACCCAGCAACTTTTGATCTTCCCCATGTAATACAGCACTGGAGAGTATCTCTTTAAATTCATTTATAAAGTAATTCAGGGCTGTGGGTGTCTTTGATCTGTTCCTCTCTGCTAAAGTACAGAAGAGAAGAACGTGTCGCTTAGCAACCCTGTTTAGCCAGCACTGGAGGAGGCAGGAGGGATGGATGGTCCAGAGCCACAAAAGGGGAGGATTAAGCCCCGTCAGGAAACTAAATTTTGGAAACTAATCTTTCTCAAAACTGAAGCAAGCAAACATGGCTGTTTGCAGAATTAGGTAATTGGATAATCTCACTTTTTTCTCTTTTTTTGGTATCCACTTATGGTCTTTTAATAGCAATCTTCCAACCAAATGGGAAATTCTGGCATGGGATGGACAACACAGGGTTTGACAGCTTCAGGGCTGGGTAGCAGGTGAAGGGAACATGAAATTTAATTTTAAGCCAGTTCAACAGATTTTAAATAGAATTAGTGTTGTCAAGACTAATGGTAATGAATTTCATACTACAAGTTTAATCTTAACACTTCAAAAAAATTTTGTGTGAGTCTCATCCTATTGTACAATTGGACAGCCTAAGTGTCCCCAGCCTGACTTATTCAGGGTCACTTACCTTGTTGTAAATAAACCCAGAATTCTCTGAGTGGTTACCAGGCTGTGATTTATTGGTAGCTAGGTAACATCTTAGAGCTGCAAAAAAATACCATTTAGGAAAGTAACTTTGCACTGAAGCAAACAAGCAGCCCTCAGCCCTTTGACCTTCTTGCAGCTGCAGGATGGTGATGTCCCAAGAGCCGTGGCAGGAGCAGGCACCAGCTCAAACCCTCCCGCTCATGCCCTTAGTGAGCAGTGCTGGCCTAGAGCAGATTTGATTGATTTTTTTTTTTTTTCCAAACATCAAATCCCACAGCAATGTATGGCTGAGTTATGGAAGAAAAAATGATGCTAAAAACCTGTGTCAGAGGAAGAATCACAGAACTACCCACTTCAGCATCTCAGACAAAAAATAGCTCAAAATTAAATACAAGCAAATTGTTACACGTGGTCTTCTGTTAATGCTCATAAAGATTGTCCTAAATCTTCTTCATTTTTGCACTGCTTTCATGTACTAATCACCTATAACTTACTAGTGAACAGTTAAGAGAATCCCTAAATTCTAACGGTTTGGGTTTCTCCCAGAGCTCAGTGCAGGCAATCCTGTGCTCAAACTGTAGTAAAACTGCAGATTATTAGACTGAGTACCTACCTCTATCCACAGACAGGGAGCTTGTAAGGGAGGTGGTAAATGCTAGTGTGGAGCTCATTCAGAGCTGAGGTTCTTAGAATTAGTGTACTGAAGAACTTAATTCATAAGTGAGAAGATAATTTTTATTACCCATATATAGCAAAGATCTGTACAGTAGAATAATGTCTTCAATGGGAATTTTACTGGTTACTGTAGGGGTGCCTGGATTTTACCCAGAATCTCTGAGTGTGCTTTTTGTATTGGCAAATGCTCATGTAATGTGATTCTTCAGAGAAATTTAATTACAGAAAAATGTGTAAGGCACTTGGCATTAAGTGGCTTAAGTTTGTTAACGTACAGTATGGAGAAAAAAAGCCCAAATTAGAAGCAAATAACACTAGCTCAGCTGTGAGCATTTCCATAAAAACTGCTTTAGTAAGAAACTTCTATTTTTGTAGCACATATTTTCTCTATACTTTTATGATGATTTTCTCCATACTTTCAATTTTATGATCTAAACAAATATAGAGGCTTTATTTGAAGTGTCACAAGCTGAAGCAAATCCCTTGGACTTGACTTTGTCTTTGCTTCTAAGTTACACCACAGGTAACAATTGTTAACTGTAACTCAATATGAGAAAGTAATTTTGCTGAGGAAGAGGAGGAATCCAGCAACAGTAGAAGTCTTTTACTTGCACTTGTGTTTACAGTAGCAGTTCATACATGTAGTGAGTTTTAGTTTTAGGAAACAGAAATATGTCACATCCATAAGGCCAAGATGCTCTTTGTTGGAGCATTCTTGTTACAAACACTTTCTGTGATTCCTGTAACAGATACACAACATCTGTAGCTTCTGGAGCAGACCTTGTGAGGCTGATGGTCTTGAAGAATATGTTTTGGACTACACTGACTTCCAAAACTGTACAATTAACATAGCTTTCTGCTTATGGCATTCAGGTTCCCAGATCAGGATGATGCATGGAAAAAGCACGCAGATAAAGCATCATTTGCCCTAACATGTCATCAGAAACTGACTTCCTAAAGGTATGTTTCAAGTTGGAGAATACAAACAGATGTGTGATATTTTTCCATTTCGGAGCAATCATTATAATATCACTATGATGCAGATTACCTTCATGACTTCTTAATCTCAATGCTGACAGAGAGAGAGTGATCTAAATTTGCAGAAGCATCATCATTGAAGAACTCTCAATTTAGTGCAGCAATTCTTGAAAATATATTGGCCCAGCTGACAGTACTGGGGAAAAGATTATCTCTTTCATGGACCAACACTGCAACAGCCCCTGCTCTCTAATCTAATGAGGGAAACAGCTCTAATCTAAAATCTATTAGGCTATTTATTTGTCTTGTAATTTCCTCCTAAATGAAAATAGAATTATTCAGCTTTTTGTCATGATGTATAGAAAAGTGTGAAGTTAAAAATAAATCTCAGCTCCTCCTCAGTGGAGGGACAATGGCTGTCTTTTTAAACTAAAAGCCCACTGGTCCCATTGCCTTCTGCTCAACAGTCGGGCTTCACAGAAAGATTTTTTGGTGTTTGAGGGTCAGTTTCCCCAGAGATCAATAATTACAGCAAGGAGAAGTGCAGAGAGGTTGGACATCTTTACTGCCTGCAGTACTACCTCTACGTGTCTGACTCCAGCACCAAGCAGCTGGAATATAAATGGACTGAAAAATTCACTGAAATACTTTGACATTCTGTAGATGCAGAATTTGAAAGGATTATGAGTGTCTATTTTTAAAAATAAATTAATAAAAGATATTGTAAGGCTATGAAAAATACTGTGTGGTATAAAGGAAGATCAGGAAATTCTAGGTTTTCTCATAGTGTAAGGCACACAGGCATTCACACAAAGAGATACAGTGTGCAAAAATATGGAAACAATACAAAGAAAGCCATGCCCTGCTGGATTTCACTGTGTCCTGTCTGCCTGGTTCCGCTGAGTGGGGATCACGGGACAGCCTGCCCAAGCCAGCCTGTGTCTCGCTGAAATCACCACGAGTATCACCCCAATGGTGCTGCAGCTCTGAAAATTTGTGACTGGAAGCAAATGATTTTGAAGGAGAGAAAAAACAGGTGCAGAGAGGTTCTTGTCCTCAAAAAGCCTGTTGAACCACTCTTTTTTTCCTTGGAAGAAGTTATATTTATATGACAACTTTACATGTAGCAGTGACAGTGGCAGCATATTTCCAAGAAAGTGGAATTACTAATGTCTTGGCAGCGTGAGATTGTTTTTATCCCAGTTGCAAATGTTGCTCCGTATGTCACAAAACCATTAGTTCCAACAGCCTGACCTTCCCCATTAAAAGGGCATAACAACACCTCATGTTTGTGGCTGAGATATGAGGAGACAAAGGTGATACCAGTGTGTGACACATTTCAGTGGTGTATCCTGTTGGCAAGGAGTTGGCTTTGAGAAAACAAGCCAGCCGGGGAGGTGTGTCGTCCTTCCTCTTTTCTGGTGTGTGAATATTAAGTTAGTTGTTTGACATCATCTATGTTAAGATTTTCGTAACACCACTGGCTTAAATCTGAATTATACCATAGAAATACTGGTTGGACAGGGCCTTTAGATCAGCTCCTGCCTTCTGCTCAAAGCAGGACTGAACCAACATTGGATTAGGTCTGCTGTGATTTTACCTGGCCAAATGTTTGGAATCCCCCTCTGGGTATCCTTTTCCCTCTGCAGTCCTCAACATTTTCAGATTTTAAGATCATGACAGATCTGTCTCTGCAAAACACTGTTTTTAGCAAAGCATCACATGTCCACAAAGATACCTTCCTGATTTCTTTTTTGAAATCTGAGTTATAATGAGGATAAACGGTATGTGATTCCTTAAACCTAAAGGAGACATCCAACATAAAAAAGCAATCTTAATTCTAAAATGGCTATTTTAGTCATGACTTGTAAACTATGCAGTTTTGTCTACTTGATAATACCCAGCTTAGTGTTAGATCTAAAAAAAAAAAAAAAAAAAAAAAAAAAAAAGAAATCGGAAAACTACTCCTTTGATACACATTAAGTTATTCAGTTAGTAAATTAGTGAATCTTATCCTGTTATTAGCTATTAGCATGTTACACTTCTTGATGTTGCTCATGAAGAATGCCTATGGAAATGAGGGAAAAAATTGCCTTTTGAAGTTCTGTCACTTGATATGTTGACATTTCTTTTAATTTGTGACTGTCCTCTTGAATGCAGTATTCCACTGTCTGGTTTTATGAGAGATTCTTCATTTTTAATTTGTTCTCCCGTTGATCAAACTTTTTTTTTTTAATGGGTAACTCTCAAGAAAATTAGCCTTTCAAGGAAACCATGTTCTCCTAAATAGTTATTAATATCTTTCCTATTCAGTACTTTTAGCTCTTTGTCATTAGGGGACTTTCAAGGCCTGGTTAACCTGTGCCTGGTACTACTGAAGAGAGCAAGAATCTCGCTGCAGATTTCAGGGAGAGCAAGAGAAGACCCTGGGAGTGAAGAAACATAATTTGTATTCACTTTGGCAGATGGCTGTTTTCTAGGAGAACCTACAAACAGTTCTTGAGGCTCTAGGGCAGACTGAGGAGGGAGTAAAATGAGTGAAAGTAAACAAGGTATGTTGCCTTCTCTTTTTTCATTCTCCTTATGGTCGAGGTTTCCATTTTCAGAGGATTCCATCAGCTGCAGCAGCTGTGCTAAGGAGCCTCGATTAGACTGCCCTGTTTGTGTACATTACATAAACATAAACCCATTCAAACCAACATTCATTCCGTATCTGATGCTATTTGCTGTTTTCATCTGCAGTTATGCACAGCCAGTCTGAGTGGGGTCTCATTCTCTACCTCAGGTTTCTATAAGCAACAGAAAATAACAGTTGGTTATTTTGTCTCTGCTAGTCCTGATTTTGCAATCCCTAAAGACCAACATCTTCCTTTTAAATAGACTCTGGACATTTTTGGGAAGAAATAGATCAAGAACTTTAATAGCAAAAAGGGTCAGAAACATCAAAACCTTTCAGGAAAAAAATTATATGAGATTAATGAAATTGAAAAACAATTACAAATAAAACCCAAGGTGATCCAGTCATTATAAATGGCTGACCAAACAACCGTCGTGGAGGCATAATTTAAAGGGAAGCTTCACTTTGGAGAAGCAATGTTTATAGAGATGCTAATTTTATCTTTTTGAATACTATTAAAATACCTATTAAAAGTAACAAGTTGTCATCCAAAATGCTGCAGTGCAGCTCAGAGGAGAGCTAGCACAGTCTGTGAACTGGCCTCACATGGTGATCTATGTCTGATGCCATAAGAAATACATTATTTCAAGAGCCCAGGCAAGCTGTATAGGTAGAGCCGTGTTCTTGCTGCAATTATATTGGTGAATTGATGTTTTTCTGTGATTTTAGTCCATACAAGTTTAAGTACTGAGCCAGGAAACTGATAGCAGTTCTACTGCATGTAATACCAGGGATTTTAAACATATTTGCTTAAGAGGATTAATAAATGGAATTTGAAAAGTGATGTATTATTGGAAATTATTTTTGTTTCTTTATTCACCCAGTTTTCCTAATTGTGACATGTTATTTTGTATGGTAGTGTGCCTCTGCTGTACCAGGACATGATATGCACTTAAGCCTTTGGGCATGTGAGGTGAGTTGTTTTCCTTCCCCATTCCACTGGAAAATCAACAAAAGCAAGCCTTCAGTTGCATGAATTTCATTATGACCCACCTTAGCAGGCACCTAAATCCTGCAATGATAATTTATCTTTGAACTCATTAGTAGTGGTGCATAATTATGCAGGAACATGCAGTTGCTCTGTATTTACCTGGTATTTGCCATGCAGTTGTGGCGTAATTACGGAGATTATACCTGCTCTCTAGAGTAGGAGTACATGGTGTACCTCATTTTGTGCTATTTCACACAGCAAAGCAGACCCCAAAACCAACTCCATTGGTATCACAGTACCAAATGTGAAGTTGCAGCACGTAGGTGCTGGGAAAAAAGTACCAGCAAGTGGTGAAAAGTGCAAAGAAATAATGCGGTGCCTCTGAGTTGATCACATTTTATATGACTCAGCATAAACTATAAGGAAAACTAAATTTAAAGTTTCTATTATGTTTGAGATCCGCATCGAACAGGAAGGGGAATACTGTACACATCACTTGGTGCAGAAATTGCTGTGCCACTGCTCCAAAGCAGACTTTCCACTCCTGCATGCAGTTTTGCCTTCTCTGAGGAGAAAGCACAGGCCTTTCTAGAGTATGGGATACAGCACCACACTAGTTAAGCAACTCAGCAGAAGAAACATGGATTTATTTGCTGTTGCTAAAGAGTAAAATTTCACTTCAGCAGACAGTAAAACTGTCTAAGAGTTCCCTGTTCTGCTCCAGGTGGAAGGAAAAGGAGGGAGTTTTTCGAAGTGTAAATTATTGTTGTTCAGCTTAATAATAGTTTTCCTGTCTTGAGGGACTTGATTTCTGAGTACAGAGTTAACAGATTCTCACTCTGAAGGGCCAGCAGTGTGACATGACAGGACATGAGCTGTGCTGTATTGATTTCTAGCATCATATTGGCAGTGTTCAACTACATCACCAAAATGAGATACAGATTACAACAATATAATTATTTAATTTGAATGTCTCACAGTGATTTCACTCTGTGCCACAGCCAGAGCTCTCATGGTTTTTATGGGTTCCGCTGACCTTGGCAAGGTGGGTAGGGCTCTCCCATCCCCATGACTGGGCTGCATCTGGCACCCAGCTTGGTGGACGAGCCTAAAACTGGTTGTTTGAACCTTGGGTTCAGGGAACTTTGATGCTTAACATCAATAACTTATTTCTGTCACAAACTACATTATCTGAGGAGTTGTTAATGAGCAGCGGGAGTTAACATTTCAGTCCATCTCAGATGGTGCTGGTTAAGGACATGAACACAGTGCACTAAGTCTTTTCTGCACTGACAGATTTAAAAATCATTTCAGAAGAAGTTAGAGAGCAAAAATAAAAAAAAACTTCTTTTCCAAAAATCATATTTGAAAAAATGGTAATTGGTTTCTCACTAGCAGCATTTCTATGTGGATTTTTAAAATTTTTTAATTAAAAAATATTTTAAATAAATATATTTTATTTTTAAATAAAATCTTCCTGTTTTCATAGTGGATAGTAAGGAACAATGGAAGACATGCCTGTCTGTGTCCCATTTACAATCACAAACATCATCATCCATGAATTCCATGACTTTTTCATTTCCATTTTTCCTACTTAACATCACAGAGTGCTGGGGTGGCAGCTGCAGCAGCTGTTTACTGCAAAGCATTTCCCTGGCACATCAACCAGAGCCAAGCCTGTATTTCACACACTTCAAAGCAAACATTTCAGGCCAACTGTGAGACTTGGATTTGAACTTCTAAAGCTCCTTAGCTCTGGTGTACCATGGCACTCAGGCTTTGACTTTTACCCCCTTTTCCATATTGTCAGAGTCACTCCAATGCTTTTCTTTGTGAGAGGATGCAAGGTACCCAATCCAGCTCCCATTGAAAAGTGCAATCATTCCTTTCAACTTTTCTTTTAAAAGACAGTGTTTTACAGTCTGATGAGGGCACTTTCCTCCCTCTAAAAATGAGCATGGTCCTGGTCAGACTTTTCAGCTGGGGTTCCAATACAGCCTTGTTTTTCATTCAAGCATTACAACGACCAGGAGAATCCTGCCATTATTTCTAGGAATGAAGTAATTTTTAAACAGTGAAATTGTGCATAATTTCAGTTTTCTCAGGGAGAATACTCAAGGCTGGCTCTTTTGATGTTTTGTTCACAGAAATCAACACGTGATGCAAGTGTATATATAGAATGAATGGACTTGGGACAAATGTTTGAAGACTTCTTGCAACAAGTTGCTCACAAATGATCTACAGCAAGAGTTACTTCCAGAATAGTTACTGCATATGTGTTTGCAAAAAAGATATTCAAGCAAATCAATCTGCTTGTGGACAAATAGTGAAGAGAGAAAAAGGAAAAATTCCTCTAACAAATATGAAACTGCAAATTATTCACTCAGCTGAGTTGGCAACAACCAATTTTTGTGGTAGTAGGAGCTGATGGAGTAGGAGGTAACTGTGTGAAGAATGATTGGTTTGATATCTTATATTGGAATTCTGGAAGGGCTTCAATTTCTAATTTAAAAGCCATCTTCCTCCTTTTACCCAGTAAAGAAAACAAAATGATAGTTGATTTCTGTGAGCTGTTTTGGGCAGATAGGATCTATTTTATGTCCTCTAGACACTGACAATGGCTAGCTCATAAGAAAGAGTGGTTATTTATTAGAAAAGATCTCTCTTGCCAGGAAAAAACCTCAGAGCCTTCCTGAGGATGGCTATTGCCATCACAATCCTCTTTGCATCTTCCCAGGAAAGATATGTAATGGGTCTGAGCTTGGTGCTTTTTTGGGTTGTGGAGCCTTGTGTAATTTTCACCTCCACAGCCCATTTTTTGGTACAAACACTGATTTACTTTCCTCTTGGAAGAATGCAAAGCACATCTGGGACATCTCTGAACTAAGAGCACCTTTTGCTTCTTCCCCTGGGATGAAGCCAGCCACCCTTTTGGTGAGAGGCTCTGGGATGCTGCAGTGGGATGCCAGCAGAGTTGTCTTCTTTTCCAAACAAAGTGACTATAGCATGCTCTGTTTATGCCTGTGGAGTGGTGATGAGAGTTTAGCATTCAATTCTTCTTAACTCCTTACATGTGTATTCTTGATTGAATATGCAACTCCTAATTTATTCCTGAGCAGGCACATGCTCCCTTCCAAGGCATAGCAGATGTGAGGGAGTCCGCTTCATCGCTACAGCTTTACTTCACAAAAACCTTAAAATGCTAAAGCCATAAATAGTCATTATACCACAATCTTTGGCTGAATTATCTCCAACGTTACTGCAGATCTTAGTCATAGTGAAAGCTTTTACAAGCTACTTTGAGCTAATGGCAAAATAGTTTTCCTTTAAAGCAGTGATGTGTTCCTTTCCACAAATGCTAATTGCATTATTCTATTGTAAGTTCTGGGCTTAGTTACACTGAGCTTGAGTTAGCTTGTTATAACTTAGCCCTAACCATTGACAAGAGATTAATTTTTCCCTTTCTGTGGTTTTAGAGAGAAAGATACCAGGACTGAGATTCTTTTGGTCACCGAAGTCAACTATGGCAAAAAGGTGCATTCTGCAAGAATGTTCTAGGCAAACTCCTCAGCAACAGAAGGATGTGCTGCAGAAGGTGATATTCAGGAGCCATTTCCAGTAGGATACAGGATGAGGATATCTGCATCCAGCTGAGCTGTGCCAAAACTACCTTGACTTCCTGCCTCATACCTTTCTTTCCATGCTGCAAATCCATGTTAGTTTCAAGACTGCTTGAAAGGTCTGTAGCTGGCAAGGCCAGCCCATGGCTGGTGAACATCCTACCCACTGCTGGTACTTTAGGAGCCCTTTCTGCAGCACCTGCCTCCCTGGGACAGGAGCTGGAGCATACAGTAATTCATCACCTCATTGTCAGAGCATATGTTGGTGGACTAACTTCAACAATTTCACTGCAGGAGAGCTTTAATTCTAACTATTGTAAGAATATAGACAAATTTCTCAACCTGCTTCAGTCTACAAATTGCAGATACATATTCAGGTTGTTTGATCCTGGATACAAAACTCACCACTGCCCTCTATATCTACCTTCTTCATTCCCTACAATCTGTGAGCATTTGCCCAGAGAGGATAAGAAAACATTCAGCTGCTGCAGATCCACCTAAACGCACCAGTTTTTTTGTTTGTTTGTTTAATTTGCTACATATGATTAACTCCACTGAGTTTCTGCCAGGCAGAATTTGCAACTCAAAGTACCCCATGAGTGTGCTGCAACACTGCCAGGAATTGAATACCACTAGTCTTCATAATCGCTGTTTTTCCAAAGATCAGGTATAGCAGACAGACCATTTTAGGCTATAAATGGAAATCAGGAAATGAGATCTTCTTTCCCTGCTAGTTCCTCTCCTGGGAATTTTAGTCCTTTTCTCTGTGCACATGCTTTGGTTGTTGGTATATTGGTAATGTGGGTCTCTCAGACCATCTGCCACTGGAGCCTGTTCTGAAGTGCTGCAATGCCAGTGAACATGGGAAATCATTCCCACTAGTACCAATGTGCTGTTTGTTGGCATAATATCACATGTGAGACCAAAACCACATCAGGATAGCCCGATTTACCCCATGATTCTGGGGACAGGTGATTCAAAAGTAAGGTTTACAAAGTAAGTAAAGGCATTTCCCAGCTACCTGCACTTCCTTTTCTAACAGTTGTAATCCATTTGCAACTCTCAGTTTTGCAGATTGCCTGTTACCTCCTGTGGATGATCAAAGTCTAGTCATGAATGCAGGCACTCTGGACTTACAGTCCTGTCTATATGAGGGATGTCTGGCCTAGCCTTCAGTTTATAGGACAGATATTGCCATCTCAATCATCCATATCATATGGATCTAATGCAAGATTTTTGCATGCCCTTTAAATCTGAGAAGTTCCAATTGTCATTCTTCTATCATCAATTCTTCTGTCATCAATTCTGTCATTCTTCATGAATTATGTATTTTTCTCTTTTCTGGAAAAAGCTTTGCATTATTAGGAGGTAAAGAGATTAGGTTTTGCTACAGCAACATGATCTCAGAACTTGAGAACAAACCCTTAGCATCATATGCTCTTTTCTATTGCCTGTAATAGTAATGAGAAGCATTTTCTGGGCTAGAAAATACCCTCATTAGTTCATGACAGGGTGATTCTAGGACTGTATGCCCTTGTTTGATTAAACGCTAATCACAGGTGTTCTTTGACAGGGTCAAAAAATAATTACCCTTTGATATTTTAGTCAATTGTAGTACTACTGAGAAGCACTCTTTTCCTGCCTATAGAAATAAAGAACCCATTTAACCTTGGAAAAATATTATTCATGCTATTTTTTTTACTGAAGGAACAGGAGTGGGATTTTTTGAGTACAGACCTATTCAGTGAGAGATATCTTAGTGTTCTGGGGTGACTTTATGATGCTTGTATCCCCACTTGTCAGTTCAGCCCTGAAATAAGTTTTGCACCTTTAGGACTGGTTCCAAGAGTGAAGGGGCAGAGCGAGAAGAAGCGCAGAGTTTGTTCTCAGAAACTGCACTTGCTCCCCCACATCCTTCTCCTGGACTGTGTTGTCTGCAGACAGACAAGACAGCAGGATAGAGCTCTCCTTTGCTTTTTAGTTAGTATTTAGCTCGCTGAGGCAGGGAATTTCTCTGGACTGTGGTTTTTCTTTTTTCGTGGAACTGTTTAAACCTGCTCTGGACTGAACACCCAGAAGAGCACCAGCAGCTCACACCTGTGGCCCACCAGGCTGGGCCTGGGCTGTGGCATTTCCAGGGCCAGAGGGACTGAGCAGAGACTGAGTGAGCTGACCTACAACCATCGAAAGGGACTTTCTGAGTTTTTCATCATTTTGGAGCAGTGAGAGGGTTTATTGTTTAATATTGTTAAATTTTTTGTGCTCGTGAATATTTTGCCTGTTAAATACAGAGGTTTTTTTCCACTTTCCTCCAAAGAAATCTTTTCCCAAACCAGTTAAAGGAAGGGCCACTTAAATCTGCTTTCTAGAGGAACCTCTTTGGTGGTTTTCTCACAAATTTGCCCTAAACCAAGACACTTAGTCAACGGGGGTCAGCTCTGGCACTGAGAGAAAATGAAAGAATTTGAGACAATATGTGAAAAAAAAACATATGTCTTTAACTAAATTAATAGAAAACATATTTTGTCTTTTATCCAGCCATCATGTGATAATCCTGACATCCCAAACTGTTGTCACAGTCATACGTTCTCATTCTCTTAGTCTTCCACTTTGCTTTGTCATTTACAGCATCCATGTGCTTGACTTCAATGCTGTTCACTAGTTACTTGGTTTGATATTAAAATATTATTAAAATTGAAAAAACATTTAGAAAGTTGGGGGACTGTGACCCAGTAAAAATTCTCAGAGCACAGTGAAAGATGTAAAGTGACTGAACTCTTGGATTTACTTTTAAGAGGTCCTTTCTCCTCTGTCCTTGCCCACCACCTTGCTGCAGCCACCCTTGTTGACGGTGCTTCCTCTGCACCTTTCTTATGGAGGCTCCTTTTTTTTTTTCACATGATTTATTGAGATGTCTTCATCCTCATCCCTCTCTAGTCCTCCTTCAGAAACAGCTGGCAGCCCAGCTATTACCTGTGCCACCTTGCTCTATCACTGGCTCAAAGCCTTTAGACTATTGATGGTAGCAGCTGACCCCCATCCTTTAATCCCACAGTTTTCTCTGTAAAGCCCCTTGTCCCAGCACTCCTTTCTCCCTGAGCCACTGTGGTTCCTCAGAATTAGAGGAGCAGCAGTGAATAGATGACAGCTGTGAGAACACACAGCTCTTAGCCAGCAGCATGCTGACCTACAGCAGTCCATGAGTCCAGTAACCACTGAAACTTTGTAAAGTTATGCCTAATGGGGGGCAACTACAGGTCCATCCCTGTATTTGCAGCACCCACCAGGTGCTTGATTCCATTGATGATCCTATGGGATATAAAGGAGAGTTTGTATTAGGATATATATCATAAAAGCAGCTTTTCTCAGAATAGGAATTGAGATCAGGAGGCAGAAACCCTCACTGCCTAAATGGGGCTTAAATCTGAACAAGAAGTGTGGGCTAATCTATCTGCCAGTCCTCTCCTGCTAGAGCTGTGCTGCTTGAACAAGGAATACTTTAGTTTTGTTATTCAAGTTTTCTTATATTGCCCCATGCCCACATGCCCCATACACTGTGCAGGCACAAAGGAACAGGTCATTCTTGTGCAGAACTAAATCATGATCCTCATGTCCTGCTTTCCCAACCTTCAACCAGAGGTTATTTTTCACCACCAACCTAAAAGGACTCAGAAGAAAGATCTCTTTGGTTTAAATAATTAACTACTTTGACCTGGATATTCTGAGAGGCCCCACTAATCTCAGCCTTCACAGCAGTTTCTAAAATAAAGTAAAAGCAATAGAATAAGATGAAATAATATAACAATAAATGAATTGAAATAAAATAAATTATTCTGAGTCACCATTAGTTTTATGATCAAGCTCTTCTGCTGCATTCACAGCTCCCTCTTGGGATCAGACCTGTGCTTCTCCATCCTGTTTGGTTTGTGCCCAAGGCAATGGCAAGACAGTAGTTTATTTCAACTGAGAATTTGATGCCAGGCTATTCTGGGACTGAGTGAAACTTATCCTCCATAATTTCTTTACAACCAGTGAAGAGCTCTTTCTAAGAGTAGCCTGATGTGGTACAAAACACATATGCTTTTAAATATTCTGGGCTTGTACTGTGTTAACATCAAGAAAGGACGATGGCCTGGAGAGTGAAGGGTATTCACTTGAGAGGCCACAAAAGTGCTGTGGCTGTGACAGAATGGGCAGAAATATACCACTTAACCAGTCCTGAGGCTGCTAACAGGGGACCAAAGAAATCCACAGGAGAGCTGGAAAGTTTATGATGTGTCATAACACATCACTCTCTAGTGCTACACGGACTTTTATTCCAAAAATGTATGTACTTTAATAAATACCAATATTTAAATCAACATCAGTATTCAAACCAATATCAATATTTAAATATTTAAATATCAATATTTAATAAATATCAATCTGTGATTTTATTTCTCTGTTGCAGAAAGAAGGCAAATAGGTAAGTTATTGGGGTTCTCTGGGTGTGCAGGCACTGCCCATAGTGTGTTTAACCATGCCTTGGCAGGAGCCAAAGCAGGTGGGCCCAGGCAGGGAGCCAGACAGTGAGGGGACAGTGGCCACATCCTCTGCTGTCACCTGACGCCCAGTACCTGTCCCTTGGTGTCACCTCCCTCAGCCACAGGTTAGTCAGTCAGCTGTTAGGGACACTTGCTCTCCACCCAGCACTGAGTGCCAGATGATTGCACAGACTTGGGCAGGGGAAGGGACAGCAGGGTGACACAGCTGAGGCCCTAACATCTGCCTGCAGCTGGGCAAGAGGTGTCGTGGGCACAAAGGGTCTCTGCTTACCTGCCCCAGGCACGGCGGCGCCACGCGCTGCAGAAGAGTCTGGGCTCCTGCCTGTGACGTGCACACTCAGAGGAGTCTTCAGGGTGGTTCCTGGTGTGCTGGCACTCAGACACCCATCTGGTCAGTGGCAGTTGCTGGTGATCGTTGGGATGTGTCCCATGTCCCTGCACACAGCAGGATATTGGGACCAGCTCTTGGCACCCTCTGCCAAGGCTGAGGTCTGCAAGTGACAGGTTCTGCCCAGCCCTGACCTGCGCAGCACCACCAGCCAGATCCCAGGATTTTAATGTCACTTAGCAAATCTCACTTGCATCTTGGTTCTGGCTGAGACCAATCTTCAGTGCTTGAGACGATGGGAAAGAAAAACAACCCAACACCCGTAAGTTAGATAATTCACCAACAGGATTTTTTTTCTTACTCCCACAGATAACCCTAGGAGTCTAGCAGGGGAAAAACAAAAAGTGCCTTCTGTTTCCAATTACAGCAGTCCACCAAATCCCTCAGGACTCACAACAAAAAGCCATTTTCTCCCTTCCGGAATTTTTACTTAGTTCCACGATCCTTCCACAAGCTTCTCAAACTATTTCTGCAATCATAAGGTGCTTCAGTATTTTTTTCCTCCCTTTATGGTTAACTGTATTCCAATTTCCAGCCTGCATTAACTCAAGACTAATTGATTCCTGTTAAAAGGGAGTAGTTAACTTTTAGCTGATGGAGTTCTTCCAGCCTGATACTTATCCCTAAGGGTATTTATCAATAGTTGTCTTTTGCTGTGCTTTTTTTGGTGGGGCTGAAAAAGAGAAACTGATGTTTATGAAATCCTTCATTTACAGGAATGAGTATCTCCCTTTACCTGGGAGCCCAGAATGGGTGCTATGAATGGGGTCCCATATGTCCAATTTCATAAATCACAAGACTGAAATTTAGCAGCAATTTTTAATTGGGGTATAAAATAATACAATAAAATATAATGAAGTGGTTACAAAGAGTAATTTGTCAATGGTTTGGATAAAGCATAAGTGAAACTGATTGGGGTATGGGGAGGGCTTCTCGCCCTGCCACATGTACAAAGGGCAAAAGATCCAAGCACAGCTTTTATACTGTATGCTAATACATATTCATCAATAGTTCCTCCTATTTTCCTTTCTTAACATCTACATCACTCTACTGCACGGCTCCCATTGTTGCTCTGGGCTCTTCTGGTCTCTTCAGGGCTCTTCTTGGAGGAACACCGAAGGTCTTCCTTGCTGTCCTCTGAATGACCTGGCAGGTTGCACATGCACATTGAGCTTGATGCATTATTTTCCAAGTGAGCCTCATTATTTCATAGATAAGACCACTATTTTAGGTTCCCTATCTGGAATGGTCCCAGTTTTATGATATTCAATGTCGATCCTGCTCTGGGAGTTGCCTTTTAACTTCAATTGTTGCCAATTTTGGTTTGGGAGTCAGTTCCTCACTTCCTCCATTCCCAAGGCTGAATCCAGCTCTTGCATCCTGCTTTCCACATGTATTCTTGAAGAAACCCATCTGCTTCATAACACTAATCACATATACGTTTCCAATTATTTTCCCAAATTATTGATATAAGTACAACTTATTCAGCATGAATCACATCCATTTGTCACATGGGTCTGCAGTTTGCTAAAACACAGTATTCTCCCATGTAAAAGTTACTTATTTTCGGCTTGCAGTGAAGGTGATCAGGTACCAGGGTAGGAGTCCTGGTCGGTGAATTCACAAAGCCCCACGCTGGCGGGGAAGGGCTCAGCTCTGCCAGCATCCCTCAGCAGCAAAGAGTCACTGTCACCTCCCTCTGCAGACCTGTCTCTGTCACTTTCCTACAGTATTACTGCTTTGTAAAAAAAGTTTATCCCAGCAGATTTTGACTAGCAAACAAAAGAGCCTTTGGGAGCACTTCCTTCAGTTTTGGTTGAATTCTCTGTGGTTGTTGCTGGGTTGCCCTGTCCCTGCCCTGCATTCCATTCCCTACTGCCTTCCTTACAGCCTGCCACCTCTAGCCCCTGCGGTGTTACAGCGAGTTCTTGCAAGATCTGAGCTCAGCTGGGCAGGGCACAGCCCTACCCCACCCCTCCCTCTGCCCCTGTCCCAAATCTCATGCACCTCGTCTACCAGGACAATGCCAGCAGTGAATATCTGTGGCATCTGGAGGGGCACGAGCTCCACCTGGTGCATTCAGCACCATAAAAAACCCCAGGCTGGAGCTGGAGCTAGAGAAGATGATCTCCCACTCATAGATTTGGTATATTTGGGCATCCATTGTATTTGCTCCCCACAAATATTCTGTCCAAATGTGATTAACGATAAAAATATTGGCTAAGAAAGCAACCAAAGTAATTATTGCTGCATGTTTGTGGAGCAACAAAGAGTTGGAAGGGGCACATGTCCCCCAGACACTGTGCTGGCCACATCCAACAGCTCCATGTAGGACAAGAGTGTAAATTCCAGCTCCACGTGGGACAAGAGTGCAAATTCCAGCTCCCTTTGTACCCTGAGAAGGTCCAACGGCATCTGCATCTCCTCCATTGCTGCTCCCCTTCCTGGGAGGGTGGTGAGGGGCTGTGTGCCAGAGCAAGTCTGGGACACACCACAGCAGCACTCAGAGAGGGCTAAGAGAATTTTTAGGGTCCCTGTCTGGTTTTACTTTGGGCATGAGTTGAGCAGTGACCAGGACACGTGAGGACACCAAATCTCCCAAACCCTTCCCTGCCAGAGGCTGACACTGCTGCCTCACACAGACAGTGGGGCTCCTTCCAGCACTGCCAGGCTCACACAGGACCTCTGCTTAGATTAGGTTTTCATAAAAAATGAGCCTGTGTGTCACTGTACAGCCAAATTCCCCTGGCCGGAGGGGACACTGTGCCTGCAGCTGCGGGGTTGTCCTTCTCCATCCTCGCACCCTCCCGTGGTGGGGCAGGAGTGAGGTGCTTTGCTGAGATCCTCCCCCAGGCATTTTGCCACCATTTTGTTGTTTTACCCAGCAATGCATAAACTCCAAAACTAAACATAGTGACCGGGTTCCTGCCCCGAGCAAAGCAGTGATAAGGAGTGCAGCACAGCTGCAACACATTGGCTCTCCGCCTCATCTTAGCAGCTCAAAAGACATTTTCCACAGACCTTTTCAACTTTGCAAGGAGCTTTCTGGACAATTAAATGATCAGTGAACTTTGCTTGGTGTTGAGAGGAATAGTGGATTTGTCTTTACAAACAAGCTGTGGGTCTGCTGGTAGATAAAACTAGCACTGAAGGATAAAAGAAACAATGGGAAGGATTCCACTGATGGATGAATGGAAAAAAGATATTTGCTTTTACAAATAAACTTTAGGTTTGCTGATAAATGAAATTAGACATTGAAAGATGAAGGAAACAGTGGGGAAAACCCCTAAATTCCATAAGAGTTAAAAATTAAAAAGGAGAGTTGTACATTAGAGGAAAATCTCTGGTATCAGGTGTTTTGGAAAGTCTGTACCTCTCAAATACCTCAGGCAATGGGGAAAGAGAGAAGGGAAATGCGGCTGGAAAATTAGGATAAAAAGGAGGCTGCATCCTCAAAAAATTTGAGACCTCAGGGGAATGCCCCATGGCTTCTCCCTTTATTTGAATAACGAAAAAGGATTCCTCTGTCTCCTTTTTGGACATAAACCTCTGATGTTTGGGGATTAATTTTCCTGACAGTGTTAAGGTACAAAACTCAGCTAAGGAGCTGAAGTGGAGTCAGACTGGATATTTTGGAGGACTGCAGGAATCGAGTCTGCCTGATCCCGTATATTAGAAAATCAAGGCACAGAGAACAGACTGCTGCTTTCAGTTGACTTAATTAGTTGATACACTGAAACTATGAATAAAGGGGCTGTGCAGTTCTTTGGCTTCAGTAGTAACCCCGCAACCATGACAACAGCGAGGCATTGCTGATCACCATGACAAAGCCGAGGGCTGCTGCCACAGAGCCCATCAGGCGTTCGGTGTGAGTGGAAAAACCCACCCTGAAAAACAAGCTCTGAAAAACTCACCCTGCCACTGCTGTACCCCACGCTCCAGTTCTAGTCCTCTGCAAAAATCAGGTTTTGGGAACGGGTTTGGGGCGCTCACACATGTCCACATCATTCCATGAACAGTAACAGCAGTATCTTGTGAAGCCAGGATGTAACACAGAGGTTTCTTAAAAAATAGAGATTTGAATAGTTAGAGGCCAGTAACAGAATGCTGCGCCTCTGCCTGCCCCAAGCTCCCAGCCTGGCCTGGCACAGGGGAATTCTCCAGGCTCCAGCCCACATCTTGAACATTTTGTCCTAGATCTGATTCCAAAGGACAATAAAAAAATTCCCTGTTTGCTCCCAGCCCTTCCCTCTGGTTCACTCTGTGGTAAGAGACAGGCTCAGCGGTGAGTTGGCAGTCACAGGGATGACATTATCACAGGGTGTACAGGCATGCATCCCCTCCAGAGCACAGTGTATCCTCTTCCATCCTGGTACCCCCATGGAATAGCCCCAGTTCCCCAAGACCCTTCCCTCAGGGTGGGCACATCCTACACCCACAGGGATGCTCCAGCTTTGCAGAACAAGGAGGGGAGGAATGAAAAAGAGGGAACTTTGCTTTTTCATCTGGAAAACATCATCTCAGGCTGTCCCCCCACTGGGATCCAGCAGGGACCCCCTGGCACAGCTGAGCCCCCCACTCCCTTGCCCACTGGTGGCCAGCACAGTCCCACCTGCCCTGCACTGGGGCCATTGCTCCTGGGGACACTGTGTTTGACACTAGAGCCTGAGCTGTTGATACTGAGCACAGCCAAAAGTTTACTCAGAGAGATTAAATAAAGAAAATAAACAGTGCTGTGAGAAGGACATGGAATTGAGGCACTTTCCCAACAGGACCAGCTCTGCATGTGTGTGAATGCAGATGAAGCACCCAGGGAAGGGAGGTAACTCAAAGCATCTCAGAGCTGATTAAAAAGAGATGGAGAGCCCAGGCTGACTCCAAGAGGATCCCACACCTCTGGAACAGGGGCACAGCCCCACTCTGGGCACTTCTCATTCAGCTGGAGCTGGACACAGGAAACCTGCTCATAGTGTCAGCTCCAGCTGAAGTGGAGCATTTGGGTTTGCTTTGCAGCAAACCTATTGTGTTTTCCCATGGAGAAACCATCCAGGCAGGTGATTTCCAAACAATTTTCCTTGTCTGCTTTTGTAATAAGAGGTAGTAGAAACCAGTGAAGAATAAACATACAATCACGGAATGGTTTGGGTTGGAAGTGACCTTAAAGCTCTTCTAATTCCAACCCCCTGCCAGAGGCAGCGAGACCTTCCAGTAGGTAGAAGGAAATCGAAGGAAAAGGACAAATAAAAGCATCCAGCTGCTGAACTCTACAAGTTGCATGTGGCTTTGCTTGTCTTTGCTCATCAGTAAACAGAAATATTCTGCATTGCTAATTGTCAGCTTCTTCATATCATCTCTTAGTGTTGAATAAATATAAAATAAATACAGAAATATGCTCCTGGAATCCTATTGCAAGAGCAAATGGGATACTGCCAGCGATTTTCACGGTGTTCATCACTTCTCATGTGTGAGAGCAAGCCCACAGGGAGCGTGCTGGGAGGAGGGTGTCTTCTTCCAGATGCCTTCTTCCATCCCTTTGTCACCAGCCAGCATTGGGACACAGAAAGTTCATTCTGCCACCAATAGGCAGCACAGCTATGCAGAGCTCCACTGACACCAGTTTATGGGGCTCTTTTTAAAAAACAATGCATGCTCTAGGAAGGATAACAAACACGAGTTATCTCCCAAAGTGCCCTCAAACAGAAGGTTTAGGGCTGCAAAGCCCTATGGAGTCCCCAAGCCATCCCTCTCCCAAAGCACACACCACTGAGTCCAGCAGCTCACATGCCATCAGCAAACACTTGAGAATGATGTTGCATTTTGACATTTTCAACAGGCTCTGCATTTCCATTACTGTGTTACAAGCCCCTGGAATCCCTGTTAAACATCCAGCAGCCTCAAACATCTCCACATGCCCCCAGGCATCACATCAGTCTCTCACCAAATGTATTCCTTCTTTTACTTTCCAGATACCCTCCTGCTCAGACAACTAAAGCACTGAGAAACTGCACAGAAAACAAACCATTTAAACATTCTCTAAAGTCTTTCAGAAACTGCAAAAATCCAGAGCAGCTTTGAAACATTTCCAGTCTTCCCTGCCCCTCAAAATCAAAAACCAACCAAACACTTCAGTGCTTCAGCAGCCCCTGAAGTCACAGGGAACTAAGCTGTGCTTTCAACATATGCAGGAATTTCCTTCCATTGCCAAAATCCCCCAGTACTCGCATCTCTTTTTCTCCATCAGGGAGGCTGGGATGAAACATTGGGACCACAGAATCCTGGGATGGTTTGGGTTGAAAGGGACTTTACAAGCCATCCTTTTACACCCCTGCCATGGCAGGGACACCTCCCACTGTCCCAGATGCTCCAAGCCCTGTCCAGCCTGGCCTTGGACGCTGCCAGGGATCCAGGGGCAGCCCCAGCTGCTCTGGGCACCTGTGCCAGGGCCTGCCCACCCTCTCAAAGAAATATTTCTTCTTAGAATCCAATCTAAATTTCTTCTTATTTAGTTTAAATCTGTTCCCCCTCACAGAACCACGGGGCGAATTAGCAGATCCATTCAGTGGTTCATCGCAGAGGTCAGGGACCCTTAGCAGCTCCAAAGTATCAAGCAAGCAGCAAACACAGAGGTACCCTCCCAGAGGGAGCAGTCCTTCAGAGGAGAGATTATCCAAAGCCAGGTGGGCTGAATAGATGTGGGAAGCAGCCACCAGTCAGGGCTTGCTGCAGCTTCCATTCCTGAGCTTTAATCCTGGTGCTAATCCTTCTTTTTAATCTGAATATTAATAGAATATTTATAAAATGCTGATTGGAGACAGAGGCCTCTTGGTTTCCTGCAACTGTGGAAGAGCTTAAGGGTCTGTAGAAGCAGTGAAAAGGTTCAGAACAATTGATGAAGGAAGTTCTGGACTCCAGGAGACCCTGCAAGGGATTTCCCTGGAGAAAACCATCTTTTAAACTCAGGAATAAAAATCTGAGAGGAAGGCACAGTGCTTTGTTTCTGTGATCAGTGGAGTAGTGACTCATCCCTGGAAAAGCACCTCAGGGACATGACACCCCTGTCCCCCCACCCAGCAAGGAGCTGTGCTCCCAGCCAGGAAAAAGTGTACAACCAAAAGAGAAACAGGATGGTGCCCCACTCACCTGGATCCCCTTTCTCCCTCCTTTAGGGAAGGGACAAAGGTTGGTATTTCCTGTCAGCCAGGAAGCCCAAGGCCAGCAATGATTTACTACTTACCAGTCCCTGCTCCTGTGCAGGTGATCCATCCCATTTCCTCAGAAAAGGACAAGGCATGAGGCACCCCAGAGAAGCAGAAAATTAACATAAATACGTATATTTTGGCCCTGGGGCTTCAAAATTCTGAATTAGCCAAGTGTTTGAATGGTTCTGGAGCTTTACATGTACCTCCACCTGCACTCTCCCCACCCCTGCTGGTGGATAGGAGAGGCCACAATGGAAAGGAAATAGGGAACAACAGAATCAAAATAAGATTTATTATTTAGAACCAAGATTTGGAAGAGACAGACATGGCAGATAACAACCAAACAGAACGCCTGGCTCCAGCTGCGAGGGAGGGTGGCACCGAGAGGCTGATGGGCAGGGGAGGCTCCTGTGCCTCTGGTATCAAAAACAAGAGCGAGGGTGAGAACAGCCTGGGCTGGGAATGCAGGGGGAACAAGGGAGGCCTGTGGGGGCAGAGACTTTGGGGCCCAGATGTAACAGCAGGAGCAGCATTTTCCCACTTCTTAGGACAATGCTAACCCAGCTTTCTGAAAACCAGGTGAGTAGTCCTTGGATAAAAGGGTACTCATGAGATTATTGCTACGAAATACTCCGTCCATCACCTCAGTCCAGGTGACAGCTGAAACGCACCGCCAGTGAACCCAGAGAACGAAACCCCCACTGCATCAGTTTAGATTTTTGAAGGCACTTCAGAGTCTTAAAAATGGCTCCAATTACCCACTCATATTTGGAAGCATTTTAGCATTTTAGTCTTACATTTAAAATCAGCAGTGACTTGAGTCTGTATTTAAATCTGGCAAGAAAATTTGGCCAGTCTATGAGAAAAAGAGAGAGGTAAAAAGGGAAATGACAAGCAGACTCATTCTCCGGTGAAGGATTTGGAGGTTTGTAACTTGATTTAAGTTGATTTAAAATAGAATATCATCTTTAAAAAAGAACTGTGATAAATTTAAATAGAACTGGAACTTCTCTTTCTCATATGCATGCCTAGTTTATCCCTTAATTGCTTAAATGACAATTAACTGTATGAAACAAGAAGCATTTGAAGGAGTGCCTCCTCCTCTTCCTCCTCCTCCCTCTTCTCCATCTGCTGCTCACGGAAACCTGGCTCACAACAGAAGGGAACAATTTGGAACAAAATCCTTTTCCCCCAAAATAATTCTCCTTTATTTTTTATTGCATAACATTTTTGTATTTCCAACTATAAATAAAAAAAATATTAGAAAGAAATTACAAAATAGCATTGAATGGACCAGAACAGCACAGAATTCCTCACACACGATAAATCATTTCCCATCTTCCTCTTCCTCCTCCTTGGCCGTGGCAGGGCCTTGCACTTGGCACTGTAGCTGTGGGGGCCACGTGTCAGTCACTGATGGTCTCATTTTCAGAATCTAAAAGAAAAAAATCCACATATGGATTTCACATCTAGGAAAACACAAACCAAACCCAAAAAGGCCATGTGAGTTAGGGCACCTCAAGTGTGTGAGGTGCTGCTGCCGGAGTGCACTCTGGGTCCCACTCCCTGGAAACAGAGGCAGAGATGGGTGCTTGTGCTGAGAGTTCAGGTGTGTACACCATTTCTTTTGCTGGCAGAACCTCAGCAACTCACAGGGTCCTCAGAGCAGAGCTCTCACTCCTGTGGGGGGAGAGCCAGGCTCCCAGGAGGCAGAGATGGAAAGGGCCAGCAGAGCCAGCTGGCATTTGGCTCAGTTTGTCGGGAGGAGGGGAGATGGGGGTGAGGCTGTGCGCAGTGTCAGAGGAGGGTGGGGCTGCCAGGGCAGGTCAGGGCACCTGCAGGATCCCCACACCTGCAGGCTTGGCTCCCTTGTCCCACAGAATGGGTGGGCTGGAAGAGACCTCCCTGCAGCAGGGCCTCAGGGATGCCGTGCCCCACCCTGGCAGGGATGGGATCCATCGGCTGCCCCAAGAGCAGAGCACGGGGAAGGTGCTTGGACAGACGTGAAGGGCACAGCAATGACAGGAGCAGGGTAAAAGGCAAGGCAGGCACCGAGAGCAGCACATCACTGAGGCAGCAGCAGCACAGGCTGGCACCTGGTGCTCCCCAGCCCACACCACATGCCCACCACACGCACTGGCCATGGTGGGGACGTGCTGGGGGACATGCACCCCAGACACAGCTCCACAGACAGACAAACACATGAACACTGCTTGGAGGGGCAGCACAGACAGGTCTGACAAAGCAGACAGCTTCGGGAAGCACTCAGAGCTCATGCAGGGAGTCCCTGGAGCGGCAGGGGAGGCAGGGGATGCTGGGGACAGCACACAGTGCAGACACTGCCAGGATCTGGCACAGCTTCTGCTGGGTCTCTGCGGTCTGGGCTTTGTGGTTGTTAGACGCAGCCCTAACTTTCTCCCTCCTGTATTGCCTGCTCTGCCTGTTCATGGGAAGAACTGACTTTTAAGAGAAGGAAAATTATGTCTTCCTAATTCCTCCTCAAGCTTCTGATCAACGTCAGCTCTGAAAATCTGCCTGGATCTACCCCAGCACCTGCTCACGGTGGGTAACCAGCATGCGGCGTGGAGTTTCATCCAGGAAAACAGGACAAAATTAACTATCTCCAAGTAACTGGGAAAAACAAAATCTGGCTGCTACAACACCCAGAGCAGAGCCAGCTCACCAGGCACTTAGCTCCTAAAACAAACCCCCACTGGTGCTCAGCCATGGGCAAACACCCCACTTCTTACTCCAGGCTCAGTCAGCCTGAGCTTTCCCAGGCGGGGTGGGCAGCAGTGCTGGAGAGGTCAGGGAGCGCAGTTACCCACCAGTTTGTTCAGTGACAGCAGAACTGTGGGAAAAGGCAGCCATGGCATACCCTGTAGCTGCTGCCTAACGGGGACAAAGATACCAGGTTCACTCTGTCTAGTCTGGTAAACAAACTAGAAATGCTGAGGAAGTTTTTACTTTGTTTGCAAAGTCATTGGAAAAAAACACCAGAGAAAATAAATACTTTTTGGGACTATTTTATGTTAGACCTGAAGAATCCCCATTTGAGAAGGACTGGCAGCTGGTTATTTCCTTCTAAATCTCCTAAGTTTTTACAAGGTGCCAGGGCAAAAAATGTCTCACAAAAACTGCAACAGGCCCAGAGAAGTCCCCTGAAGAGTGTCTGGAGAGGCTCTCATCATGCCCAGCTCTTCAAAAGCCGCAGTGCCATAGCTAGTGCTCAAGTGGTGCCTCAGTCATGAAAGGCAAAGTGTAGGAATGTGCTCCTTTCTGAGGGGAAAAAACAATCCTAACTTTTCCCTCTGCCTTATGACTACAACAATGTGCTCAATATTCACCATGCATTCATCCTGTTGCACAAAGAAAAGAAATTCATCCAAGTGCTCTATGCTTACCAGATTTGGAAAAATCAAGAGTTTCTCACAAGAATTTCACTGTTGTAATACATACTTTATCAAATCATAGGGTATTGTCTATGAACAGCTTCTCCACAGTGACCAAGTGAGCCCTAAAGCTTCCTGAGACTTTGTGTGTCAGACTGAAACAGCCTTGATGGCACACAACTACCCCTGAGAAGGGAGCAGAGAGAATCACATCACTCCCAACAGCAGCCACCTCCTGGTCCGAGCCTGACTTCCACCTGAATCAGGTGTAAGTGATCTCTGTGCTCACACAGCCACTGCTCACACAGTCAGCAGTGCAGCACATCCAGACCCCTCTGAGCACAAATTCCTTCATAAAGCAGAATTCGCAGCCTGACAGGCCCTAAAATCGATCTCATTACAACGCACTTCTGGAGCCCGGCAGCAGCATGGCTGGGGCTGGAACATCCCTGTCCTGCTGAATCTACAGGGAGCACTCCATAGCCAGAAATGTCGCCCCTGCCAAAAAGCACACATATGAGTCACAGCACAATTCCCACCAGATCAACAAACTGGGGTATTCATTTCTAGGGTATACAGACAGGAAACTGACTGTCAGGGATACAATAGTAACAGAGATCAGCACATCGGACAACTCCACTGAAGCTGAATCTGCCCAAGCACCAGTCAGGTGCCCAACACCACAAACCACTGAGGTGCTCCTCAAGGACTCAGTCCATGATAAATAATCATAGCCAGAAAAAACACACAATCATGGTTTTGTTGTTTTATAAATTTAATCCCATATCAGACATTCATCCAGCCATGACAAGAAGAGTGTGATCTCCCTGTTGTACACTCTGTAGAGAGATCGTGCCCACACTGTCCCACAGGAATCACCCAAAATCAGGACAGAGGAGGGCAGACAAAGAACTGGAGAACACAAGGAAACCTTACTGGACGTGACACACAGTCAGAAACTGTTTCACGTGTGACTGTCTCCGAGCCAACAATTTCAACAGCAGCCATGGAAAACTTGGGGGGGACTAGTAGGCAGCAAGGCAGAACACAAGGCAAGCTTTTGCTGTAATAGCTGATTTCCGATGATTAACATCAATCTCACTCCAAAAGCCTTGAACCTTTTCCTACATTACAGTGGGGGTGGTGGGGAGAGTGGGCATGACAGGGAAAGCAATACTGACGTCATATAAATTTTAGAAGGGAGACTTCTGGTTACAACTCTCCAAAGCCAACTTCCAAGGCATGTGTGAGGACAGATGTTTTTCCTGCTCAAATATGCACAAACCGAACAAAAGCAACACAGACCCAAAAAACGTCCATGGGGCTTCTCTGGAAAAATTCTGCATGTTCCCAGACCAGATAGTAATGCACTGGGATAATGAAAAATGCTTGAAGGGAAAGAGCTACCATTGGCAAAGCCAAGTTAAACTAATGATTCAAAGAATTAGTGATTTCCTCCCACAAACACCAAACAGCAAAACCTGCCCCTGGAGGAAGAAGCTCACTTTAGGAATCCTGTCTCTTAGCACCCTGTTCCAAACACAAGTAACTCTGCAGGAGCACAGACAATGCCACATCTCACCCATTCAGTCCCTTGTCTTGCCCTCAGCTAATGTTAAGGATTTCAGAGAAAAGCGGAAGGCACCGGTGGAGCAGTGTAAAGACAGATATGGAGTAATGGGGTTAAGTAATCAAAGAATCCCAGAATGGTTTGAGTTGGAAGAGACCTTAAAGCCCATCTCATCCCACTCCTTGTCCTGGGCAGGGACACCTTCCACTATATCCCAGATTGCTCCAAGCCCCATCCAACCTTGCCTTGAACACTTCCAGGGATCCAGGAGCAGCCACAGCTTCTCTGGGCAACATTTCCTCTTTAAAAGATTTTCTTAAAGATTTTTTTTTCATCTGTTCCAGGGAGGTTAAATCTAGATTTGCTAAAGAGCCTTAAACCACTGCAGTGTTTCTCCCTGCCATCTTCAGTGCCCAGCTTTGCATCCCTGTGGCAGATGAACAGTGCCAATGGCAGCAGCTCCTCTCCATGTCCAGTCTTACTCCAAGCAAGCTGTGAATGCAGTGGAAAAGAAGGATGTGGTCATGCATTAAGATACTCCATCACAACATAAGGCAATCAGAAAGCCAAATAAAAGTCACACAGGCAAACTTCAATTACTTTCCCAACTTCCCAAACTGAAAACTGCAAAATTTTCGCAATATTTGGGGGAGCAACTTTGGGAAGTAAACATTTTTTCAAGATTTGTATTAAATTTCTATAACCGAAAGATTAAAAATCAGGAGATCTGTGAGCTCCCTCATTGAAACCTGGTATTTGAAGCTGAGCCTCTGTGCTGACTTCCCACATGAGCCTGCAGCCCAGTGCTGGCTGGGAATGTTGGGTGATGGCAGAGCTACAGGACATGCAGGACTGGAACCAACAAGGCCTGGAATTCCACCAGCATGTTTGACCCATTTGCTGCTTGTTGAAGCAATATTCAGTCAGGAATAAAACTAATTCAGTTCTGGGATCTGCATGGGATCCTTTTAGGTGTAGTTTTCCCACTCTGATGGCACAGCATGGACTCCTCAGTTCTTTCTTACTCTTGGCTCACCTTTTGCTCAAGAAGTTGCTCCATTTATCTAATGTCATGCCATTTGCTTAATTGCCACTGAGGTCAAAGCACCCTGTTACACAATCCTCACAACTGAGAGCAAAAAAAAACATGGCTTGCAGTGAACAGCCAGAAGAGCTGCAGACAAGAGTCTTGGGCCATCAGTAAATTAAAAATCACGAGTATGACAGTGCCAGCAATACATTCTGAGCTCCTGCTTGGCTCAGGTGCAACAGGCAGGTAGACACCTGCCAAGGCCCTGGAAGCTGCACCATGCCCTGCTCCCCAGCCACCCCACCTCTCCCAGGAGCACAGCCATGCAACACAGCCACCGTGGGGCAGACGGGCACCGGCGTGGACCAGAGACTTCCCAACCAACGCAGCACAGGCAGCAAAGCCACATGGAGACAAAAGCAGGAGTGTCACACCTGCATGCCCTTCTCTCATTTCTCCCGCAGCCTCACCCAGTCACCCAATGCTGGTGACTGCCTAGAGGGTGCTGGCAACAGGCTTGAGCTTACTCACACTTAAATGATGCCAGCATCCTTCAGAAGGGCTTCCCTAGTGCTTTGCAGCTCAGGAGCCTCAGTTCATGGGCCTCTTTCCCACCTACCAAACTGAGCATCCTGACGAGCAGCAGCAGCAGCCCTGAGGGAGCCGTGTGCTCAAAGGAACCAGCTGAGGCTGCAGCCCCAGGCAGCCCCAGGGCTCAGTGCCCCCGAGGTGCCAGCATGCACCCTGGGCACCGCTGTGGAGAGCACCCAACAACTGCTGGAGGCACCACATCTGCTCCTGCTACACAATCCAGGCACAAGAAGGAGTCTGGAAAACACACATGGATTACCTGGAACAGCTGGAAATTAACACTGCTCTATGTTTTAGGAAAACACTGGGTTTTTCACACCTTTTTCAAGCACAAAATGTTTATTTTTCTTTTTAGTCTATACAATTTCTTGGGGCTTTTAGTGCCACTGACTTTGTCAGTATACAAGGGATAGACTATACAGGCAATAGCAACATAAACTGTAGGATTCAGTGTGAGCCGAAGGGAACCTGGTGTGAGAACATATTTTCCATGTTTGCTCATGAAGGATACAGACATGAATTTAAAATACCCAAACAAATAAAAGATATATGGTACAGAGAACAGAAATCTCTTACTGCAGTATTTTGCCCAGGCAGAAGACTCTGCATAATTGTCTATAAAATTCAATTCTAACTGAATTGATGGAATAATATTTTCAAAGGGTACAAACAAAGTAATTTAGACAGGTAGAATGCTTGAAGTACAATAGAACTATACAATTCACAGCTTGGCAGCACAAGATGTCTCTGCCCCTTAGCAGAGGGCTACAAAATGTCATTGTGGGGCCTTTGGGTGTGCCCACACCTGGGTCCTGTGCCTGTGATGCTGACCGTAGCGCCCAGGAAAGGAAGGAGACTTACCGTGGCAAACCAGCTCTAGTGGTTACCTTGTGCCTTTACACTAAGTGCAGGTGGAGGCTCTATGCACAGTAAAATAGGAAAAAGCAACTTTTGAACAGGAGAGAGAGGTGTCCGTGCCACCTGGAGCGCAAACTTGGGTAAAAATAAAGATTAAATAAATAAATAAATAAATAATTCCAAACAGAAGGCAGCGTGACACAAAACCTGAAGTGTCAGATAGGAAAAAGAACAGCTTCACATTTTTATTCTATTTTAGCATGAACACAGCTGGCACACCAAGGATCAGACATCGCCCTCAAGCTCAGGGTGTGCTCTGCTCACATGGGGCTCACAGCCACCTGCAGATATGGTTTGCTAGAATCAACTGTTCCATTACTTGTCTTCACTTATGGACATGCATGAGCTTTTGATTTAACTAAATTATAAAAGCCCACAACATAGGGAAAGGAAATGAAATCCAGTGTGCTGCTGATCCAGAGGAAAAATAGCGTTTGCTGCCTGTTACAGAATTAAGTTGCCATCTACAATGACTTTACCACAGGCTGGGAAGGAGAACGGAGAGCGCTGCCTGAAGCTGCTCCTTAGTCCTTGTATACACCTTCCTCGGATCACTCTGTAAATGCTCCTACATTACAATATGCACTTCACTACTCCTTGTACAAACACCAACAATTTTATGATGAGTGCATCAAACAAGCATGTCAAACAAACCTCACCTCACAATTCTTACTTCTAAAAGCTTCAGAAATGAAAATTTAACCCGTGAATAAAAACAAAGCATTTACAGCAGAATGAAGCAGATGAGGAACATCAACTGTCAACCTGCAATATCTTTGCAAATAAAAAGACCTCCAACTCACAAGCAGATTGTAAATAAAATACACCTTTCAAATAATTGGACATCTCTTTCCAGCTGGTTCTGGAAAGCTGAGATTCAAGGCACTGAATTCCTGCAGGGTTAGTACAATTTGCTAATTATCAATTCAAGTACAATGATGTTAAGGATCGCAAGTGTGAAACAGAACACAAGTAATAAAGTGTCTTCAGCAAGAGGACAGAAGCAGGTATTGCCTTGACAACAAATGATCTGTTGTGATGCTGCCTCACAGTGATTGCTGATGGAGGGTATGGCTGTGCCCGGGGGCTCGCCTTGTCCCACACAGACCATGTACAGAGCAAACACTCCAACGTGACGGCATCAAAACCAGCGGGACCCAGGGCAGGGTCCCCCCCTGCCAGGGTCACCAGGTGAGGTCCCGTGGCAGGGTGCCCGCGCTAGGTCATGCGCAGCCGCGGGCTGGCCGGCCGGGCCGGGCGCTGCAGCGGCACCGGGAACATCCGCAGGCAGGTCCGGCCCAGCGGCGAGAGGCGCGCCACGCTGGGCCCTCGGACCAGTCCCGGCTGTGCCAGCGGCCCCGGCACTCCGCAGACGGGCGAAGGGAACACGGCTCCGTACTGACAGAGAGGCATCACGTACGGCGGCACTGTGCCGGCCAGGGCGGGCCCTGGCACAGGCAGGGACGGCACAGCTCCAGGAGCTAATCCTGTGGGCATGGGGCAAGCCACTGGAACAGGGCACTTGCTCCCCAGTCCTGTCCTTACCGAACTTACCTACAAAAGAGAAACACAACAAGTATTGCTACACGGCACTGCTCTGCCCGTGCCAGCAGTGTCCTGGCCCAACGCTGGGCCCTGGGCAGCTGTGGGCAGAGGCACAGGGGTGCCATGATGCCCTTGGGGCTTTCTTTTGGGCTCATTTCCTTTTTTCCTTTTATACTTTTGTTGGGGGGTTGGTTGTTTTTTTTGTTTGGTTTTTTTTTTTTTGGTTTTTTTTTGGTTTTTTTTGTTTTTTTAAAGACAGAATATTTGGAATTTAATAGAAAAGGCTGATATGAGACAGAGAGGGAAGTTACCTCAGTATAACCTCATTCTTTAAGAAGAGAGGAAGCATCATTAAACAAGTGAAAATTAACACCCTCACATGTCCAAAGGAACTCAAAGTTAACTTATGCATGAAAGTAAATAAACTTCACTAAATGCAGAATTAACCCAAATCCCGTGCTCTTACAGCCAGCCTCAAAAGAGCTTTAAAAATTCTAGCCCTTATTTATGTACAGAATTGTTTCACCCAGCCGGGGGAGCTGATGGTGGCGAGGGTGGCAGGAGACCTCTCACGGTGGCTCGGTGCCTGGTGCTGGTCGTGCCAGGTGAGGCGAAGCTAGTGAGGACACAGCAGGGCTGCTCTGCCTCGTGGGCTTCCAGGATCAATTCCAGCCAGTTTTCTAAAATTCTATTAACATACACTTCAATTATTCAGCTTTTGCATGTGAGGGGCAGAGAAAGAGCTCTCCTCTCTCAATATGGGATGGCAGAGCCTCCCAAATTACACACGCCATCCTGCATGGTGCCATGGGAACTGCTGTTACCCCAAATGTTTGCAGCATTTCATTACATTTTTCATGTCACAGAATTTACAGCCATCACACATTTATGGCATAAGGAAAAAAGGGTGTTATTTAATTCTGGGAGTCTCCCATCAATATGATATTTCATATTCAATTGATAAAACTGATATGAAGGTGAAATTTCAGCATAAAAAAAATGAATAAATGTTTGAGGTTGTCTGGGATGCTTACTCCATGTTTGTGAACAATAAAAATGGCAATGTCCCCCAGGATGTCCTACTTTGGGGATTAATCTCTGTTCCAAGGGCAATTTTAGAAAAATACAGAACTATTTGATACTCTCCTTCACTTCTCTGTCTCTCATTCTCACCTGAAACCTGAATCTGATGGTGAATGTTGAACTGAAGGAGATTCTTCAGGATCATGAATTTGACACCAATAATGTATAAAACCCCACCAAAATTAACAGAAACCAAAGAACAAGAAACAGGAATCAAGGATGTATTTTTAAGACCTGCAGACTTCTGTATGCTGTTATTAGATTCTTGGTTTAACATCTTCAAAATGGTGCTTTCCACCAAACTAAGCACCTGTAAGGAATGCCA